CCACGGCACCCACTCTTTCCCTCCACCATCCATCATAAACAATCTTCCTCCCTCGTTGTTTTCCCTATCATACTTTGTAACATTGCTGCACATTGAAGCTTTTGGCTTATTTTCAACGAAAAAACCCAAGGTCGGTGAAAGAACTTGACCGTGGTGTTACAATCTCCAAAACCCCACAAAACAAACAAAATTGGCACCCGAGAACAAAATTCGTAGATGATCACAAAGTCGTAGATGTTCATGTTCTACTGACTGAACCATCTCAAAGACCTGTAATGTGTCCTCAAAGAAGTGAAAGCGGCTAATGCTAGCTCTTCCACACTACTTTTACTGAATCCACTGAAAAAAAATTTCCAACACTGCCATAAATTGCTGGCACATCTAAGAGATAAAGAGAATTTGGCTAGTTCTCTTTATATTGCTGTCTATAAAGAGGATTGTCTAAAAATACGAGTCTCAGGTGATTCAAGCTAGCAATGTCATGCATCTTACAGTTAACAATGGAAACTATGGTAAGTTTCGAAAAATAAAATTGAAATAGTGAAAATAGAGTTGTGAAAGGAAAACGTTCAACAACTAAAGTAGATGGTGGGTTTTCTTGTGTGCATGGACGGAGATGCTGGGAAATAGCTCGATCTATTGCTTTTTGGTTGGAAGATTGGATATAACCTCGTCCATTTTATTGAATGTTATTATTCAACTTTAATTTATATTATTTTATTAGTTTTTAATTATTTAGTGAATTTCCAGCCCGAATTTAGTTTTGATTTGAGTTTTTATAGTTATATATAATTTTAATTTTTTTTATGAATTAATAAAATTTTACTTCTTTTTTTATTTTTTACTTTGTTATGCATCAACTTTGATCCTAGAGCAAGGCCTTTAGTTGTTCCTACAACTAAATCAAAAAGCTGTGTTGATTTGGGTCAGTATCCATCGATTTTAGTGAAATTGTCATCCCTACATAACATGGCATACAAATACAAGTGAGTGATGTGAAAAATGTGAGATTATTATGAGATATAAACAAGTGGTAAAAGAAGAATAAATTATGTGTTTAAACAATGTGAAAGGAATAATCATGTGTTGAATAAGTGTGAAAAATTATATTAGAATGAATTGGATACTAATTAGAAATATTTATTTGAGATCAGGAACAATTCCTTAATCATATCATGCGAGAGAAGTTTTGCCATCAGGACAATAGATGTAAGAGACAAATCATTAGCCTTATTACTTAGCTTTATTAATTTGTGGAAGTAAATTGCTTCGCAAAACATCAACGACCCTTTTATATTGCTCTATTCGTGTTGCAGCTTCTTAAGCCTTTTCAAATATCACAACTTTGTTTGAGTGGATTATCGAGCTTAAATTTTAAATAATGTTCGGTTTTTCTTTGAATTAAAAGTTGCTCTGGCAACAATCAATTTTATGTAAAATAAGACCAGACATCTCTTGATCTTCTCGATAAAAAGAAAAGCACATACACACTTATACTGATTTAAAAAAACAATGAAACTCTTAAAAACATATTCAACAATTGGTAAGATAGCCAATAACATAATATGAATTCCATGCTCTTGAGATGGAAACAAACTCAAGTTAACTACCAATTTCATGCTCTTAATTGCTTCAACTTCTCATATCTTTTCTTCTATTCCAAACAATCCCAAAGCAACTTCAAGCATTTGAGTAAAGTGGAATGAAACAATCAATGTGTGCAACATGCTCACCGCAAAACCCATAAGAATATTTACCAAATATCTTTCTAGGATATGGCCTACATTACTCATGGTCACAATGTTTCTAGAGTAGCCTCTTAATTTGAAACTGAAGACTCAGAACCCTTCACTAGCTAGCACACCGAAATTCTTAATGAAGTAGTTGTCTTAGAACCTCCTTCATTAGATCAGAAAGAACCTTACACTTGACATCGTGAGGTTAGTCTCTTCGTGCTTTTCTTTATGAGTCTATGTTATAGACTTTGAAAAGGAATTGGATAATGAAGGACTTATATTTCACTTGCAAACTAAACTTGATAAATATACAAACAAGTAATAATGCATGCTATATATTAGATATAGAGTAGTAATGGCACAAGAGAAACCCTAATGAAAAGTTCTAGCTGTTACATACACTATATAAGTTTGCTACCAAGCCATAAAAGATTTCTTGTTTGTTTAGTGATCATACTCTAAGGACCATGTTGGTGTGCTAAACACACTCAGATAGAAAATCAAACAAGAGTTAAAATGATTTCACGAGTTTTATATAGATTAATAGCCATTGGAATACTATTACTTCCTTATCTAATCTAAAGTGTATATATGTGTTTTAAAAAGTGTCATATAAAAGCATGAATCGAACAAGAAAATAAAATAAACATGGATGCTAAAAATTAAAGCAAAAGATAAACACGCATAACAAACATATAATCAATAAAAAGATAATAAGTCAAAACTTATTCCTAAATTTTTTTTGATGGAATCATCATTCTTTCACATCCGCTCACAAAGAGCCTAAAAAAATATATATAGTATTTTAGAGACAGGGGTTAAGAATTGGATTGCGACACTGATATAATCTTGGACCTTTGGAATCAAACCTGGAAACCAGCAATTATTCTCCGAACGGCCTCGCACCACTACCAGAATAAAGAAGAAAAAAATCAGTTTTCGAAAGGAAAGGCATTACTCAAGGCTTCAAGAACTAAAATACACAAAAGTAGATGATGGTTCAACGCATTTCAGACAATGAAAAAGGTTGGAAGCAGCTGGATAATATTCTACATATCCGTACGTAATACTCAAAGGATAAACAAAAACTAACTGCAGGAATCCAAACTCTTTGAAGAAAAAAAAGTAATACTCACCCAGATTGGGTGAATTCCTGCATAATTACTAGCAGTCAGAGATCAGAAGAAATTGAAGTTTACTTTATGGGCTAGAACAGTGAATAGAGTCTCAGGAGACGGCGACAAACATTTGATTTCTTTTTTTTCCAGATGCCCTTTTCCTCCGCTTCTGGAATGAATTATTTAATCATGCATCAGAAAACAAACTTGGTTTGTTTTGAGTGTTTGAATCTTTTGAATCGGCAATCATGCATATCAAGAAATCAGAGAAGAATCACGTCATTGTGTTTAATTTAGCTTGGTTTCAGAGGTTTTTTTTAATTATATATTTTATTTTGATTTTTTTAAATTTTATTCTTTAAAATTTAATTTTTATATAAATTTTAGTTATTATTTTTTTTATTTTTAATTAAAAATCTTTATTTATTATAATT